TTTCAGGAAACGCTCAGGACAGCTCATAAAGCATAATCGAAGACGAAAAAGGTGAATTTCAGCCGGGCATTGGTTTAAGGTTTTCCAGAAACCTTCTGAAAAATCTCAGAGCATCAGTGTTCTGCTGGACCACTTTTTCGGCATAGTCAACAATATATGCCACCGTTTTCCAAGAATGGAGCTGGTTTTCCAAAGATCCTCTTGGAAAACCGACTTTGAATTTTTTTTGAGAGTGTTTCTGCATGGCTATATGCAAAAAAGTCTTGGCTAGCGATCTACGAAAACCGGAGATCGATATCTCTTTCTATGGGGGAGTTATTCAAAATTTAGTCGCGGACATTGCTTTTTGAAAACGATAATAGTATGTTTTTCTAATTTTGTGGGACCATAAAAATACTATTTTTCTAAGTGAAAAATGATTTAGAACAGAAATAAATTTCATATTTTCGGCGGAGGTGGAAGCAGAAAATTGATAAGTGCACAGGCATCGGTGATTATGGACCGCAAAAAATGATTTTGTTCTTACATCATATAGTTCGCTGCAGCAGATGGCGATTAATCTGCTTAAACCGCTGTTGACGGATTTTGGTGTTGCTGTTGCAATTTCAGTTCGTGTTCCATTTGTTCAGTCGGTTTCACAGTCACTTGGTATCATTTGGTAACGTTGCAATCTCAGAGTTTCTGGGCAGTTGAATGCGATGCAGTCCGTCGGTCAGTGATTGATGATGTATGAGAAGAAGCTCCCTGTTCAGTAAATTACAATAATGATATGATCTAATTTGACAGGCGAGAGAGAAAAAATCCTAGGCAGGATAGAAAATTTGACGTGATCCGAGTTTATCTATTTGCAAATCGATTCTTCCTCGAAAACCAAACCAATTTTCAACATTTTATCTCGAAGACAACTCCAAATATAGACGCACAGTTTGCATTTGTCCGTAGAGCAGGCGAACATATGCTGTGCAAGTGGTACGAAAGTCTATAAATAGGACTTTCTATAGGTTTTCGAACATGCGCTTTCCAATGATGAGATTTTCAGAACCCAAAAATAATTTCTGGTGGGCTTTTTGGAGACAGGATCTCTGGAAAATCCATAAAATTATTTTTGCATTTCAGAAGCCTCACCACTGGAAAGGACATATTCGAAAACCTATAAAAAAGTGTTTACAGACTTTCGCGCCTTGCTAAAACAACAAGTCACATTCCGATCCAAAATTTGCTGTCGGAGGCTTTCAACTATATAATTCAGTTTGATCGAAAATATTTCTGCAGAAAAATTAAGAAGCTATACATCAGTCGATGCAGCTTTTTGCGCTCACTCCGAATATGTCATTTTCATTGAATAAAAACATTCGAGCACAGATCGATTTATCGAAAACAGATCGAGATAAATGGAAAATACCTAGAAAACCTAGGGTTTCTGGAAAATCTACCGTACGGTCCAGGAGTATTTATGCATGTTTATGCATTCACCACAGATGCAAGGCATATAGGAGAACATTCTGTAAAGTTTGGACGAGTTTTGGATTGGGCTGTGGAAGGCGCACCCATTTCGCTCAAAATAGCCGTTCCGAAAAGCGCTTAGGAAAAACTTTTAAGTTTTTTTATGAACAAACTCCATCCCAAATTAAGAACTTTGTTTACTTATATATACTGAACAATGCGCATATTCAGAATTTACAATGCATTTGCTTACAAGATTGTTCATTTCTGTGTAAATCTGATTTTTTACTGATGACATTCTTTAGAGGCATTCTTGAATAGCCGATATAATTTTTGTGCCAGCGAATAGAACATCACTTGAAGTATATCTAACACTATTTTAATCGCTAAAAAGTCGATTTTTTTCACCTAATGTCCGACTGGATGCATACTGTGCGGCGTCTGTCTGTTCAACTTCGTGCTGTGACTCATTGATGGTAACCGATCTTCTTTCATTCTAGAGCCTACACATCAGCCAAAAATTCCGTTCCTTGATCGTCTTCATCAACTTCTCCAACTACTGAAACAGTTTGCAGTTAAACTTAATCTGTTTAACACTTACTCAGAGGATGATCATACTGTACAAAACGAACATATTTCGACTCGTGTTTATCTGGTTGTACTGATCCTATGTTTAGGTATTCTGGCGATTTACACATCGGTGCGCGTTCAAACCAAAACTATCACTGTCCCATCACCATCACAAGCAACATACGACCATCTCTTAGGAAAATACCCCGACACTGCTATTCAATGTCCATGTGCCAAGATCTCAGTTGACTACAGTTCATTTATATCCATCGAACCACAATATCACCCAATCTGTACATCATCGTCCGTCACTCAACTGATCGATTATTTCGACGTTGATGTCCGTTTGTACGTACCATTCGGAGCTTGGCAGTTAGAAGCTGGCAACAATGATTATCGAACAGTGGCTGCGGCACAATTTCAGCTGATTGCATCGCTATGTCAATTGAGTCAGCAAACGGTGACCGACGCCTTGATCACATTTTATTCCACTCGCTTCATAGGTTCACAGCTATTCACACCCCCACTGTTCCAATCTCAGACCACAGCGATCATCAGTTTATTTAACACAACGACACCAAACCAGTTTAATGAAATATTTCAACTAATACGTGATACAACGCAAGCCAATCAGTTGGTGTTTTTTACAGAACCTTTTGAGGTGACTACCGTCAACGGACCGATATTTTACTGGTGGAATTCGGGCATAGAACATGAAGGTTGTCGATGTAATTCAAATGTTAGTTGCAGTCAGCAGACACAACTACTTGATATTCAGGGGAACTCGGTTACTGTACTTTACACTGTACCTAGAAGTTTTGTTGGCTGTTCAGTGGTCGACGCACTACTGCTAAGTGCATTTGAATGTTATTTTGATCGGACATGTCTTAACACCATTACATCATCAGTTAAAAATCGCACAGCACTTAACATCACGGCTTTAGATTCATCTCACTTATTTCTGTCGTCGATCAACACCTCTGTCGAAACCATCGTCGATCGATTATTCGTTGAACGGCTTGTTAATGCGAGCAATTACTCTGCATATTTTCAACAATGTGCACCCACAGAATGCGTTTATTCATTCAATCAACATCCGAATTGGATTGATATCCTTACGACGGTCATTGGACTTTATGGAGGTTTAACAGCTGTGCTAAAAGTGTTAATACCAACATTGATAAAACTTGTCAGACGCAAAAAACAAGACAATCCATCACGTAAGTCCTCAATGATTGTAGTTTTCGCTTAAGGACCCCCCTCATAAACGGTGATTTTCGGTCAAAAAATCGGTTTTGAGATAAGCACATGGGAAGATAGTCTGAAGTATCTATTTCCAGAATTTGTATTGCTCTTGGTTACAAGACTGGTTTTTTCGGGGATTTTGTGCAAGTTTTTTAGGAGCCTCGAAAAATCGGATCTTCAAATAATGGTGTCTTTCCTGAATATTTATGCAATTAAAATTGTTTTGAACACACAGATTTGTAGAGCAAACGTTTTTGATCAGAACAAGACCGCGCACAGCTCTTTATGGCCTTGCAACAAAAAGCTACAGGCATTTTCCTACAAGTCCTAAAATCGAGTATTTCATACAGCGTTTAATACAGCGTTTTCACTATATAAGAGTTACACCTGAAGTGCGTCCCAAGATTTTTAATAGCGGTTTGTCGTAGAGAGTTCATTCTTTTTTTGTTTAAAAGAGAAAAAGAAACTAAATGGACTGACCGGCGTCGATTTTTGGATTAGGCCTTAGTTTTTTGTCAAACTGAGGACTTTTAGAAAATCTGGAAGGATTTTCCGGGGTTTGCAGGTTGCTAGTTGCCTGGAAAACCAATAAAGGCTTAATTGAAAAATCAGCGCCGGTCAGTCGATGTAGTTAGGTGTCTAGTTTAAAATAAAACAAACCCGAACTCTCCAGCTTGAAGTATATTAAAAAATCTTGGG